GTTTGAGCATTGCATGGTCACAGTGTGAACCTGAACTCCATTTCAACAGGTTACCCAAACTAAAGCCACACCAGCTGGTTGCAAAACAACCAACCAGTGTTTGAGACTCACAGTTCAACCTCAACTTCTCTCTCCTCCTCACATCACTGAACCTCCACAGCACTGTTAATTTCCACAGATGCTACCCTCTGTATCCTCATCCAAACAACACCTCGTTACCAGGGGCAACGTCTGCGTGTGTCTGCTTGTTTACAGTGGTTCTGACAACACTAGCCTGACACATCACTTAAGAGGAATAGACTACAGAATCATGACTGGTTCATGTTGGATGCTTTTATAAGAATCCATACCCTGTGCCTCGTGCCTCATCCATAGAATGTGTAAACTGTGCCGTAATAGTGTAGAAGGAGTGAAACTGATAGGAAGATGACACAAATAATGACTTCTTGTGTTGTGTATATATTGTATATCTTTAACAGTCGTTCTTGAAAGAGTTGCATGCCTGATGAAAAACAGGCCCTGAGGTTGTCTAGAATGAAGCCGAAGGTTTTTTTCTTTTTCTTTGCCCTGACTACCACACCCTGTGACAAACAGGTCACCTCAAGCCTTATCTGGAGAGATCATCTATCACTTCTGTGAGGGCTACATACTCAAACACACTGGCAGCCAATATATATGCTACTTGAGTGTGCCCAAAGAGCATAAATGAAATAATACACATTGTCCACAGTGAGCTAGTGAAAGTTCCCTCTTGGTCTCTCTTTTTCACCCACTTTCTCACACTTACCCATTTTTAAATATTTATACTTCTTGACATTAAAGGCAAGAGCCAGCAGGGTGAAGAGGTGTGTGCCAGTTATAGACATATATCATGTGTCTCATAACAATCCTGTTCAGACTGGACCCAGATGAAGATGAATGTACTGTAAATGATCACATTTTGCTCTGAGTGGGCCTGCACATTGTCTCTTCTTGTTAGTCTTGCAAAAGGCTATGAAGTGGAGAGAAAATGTCATCCAGGAGGGTTTAGTCATGTTTAATTTAGTTGGAGTTCCCGGTTTCAGTGCTGTTGATGTTGAGTCAGGAGCAGCCAGGTAGGGGGTGAGAGCCTGAGAGATTACGGCTTCATTTTAATTAACTACCAGACAACTACATGTGTTGTTTTGAGTGTCTTATAGACAGATCTCTGTTTACCAAACTGACAAGACCTTGTAGTGTTCCTCTCCTGCATGTGAGACAAGGAGCGATCACCTTTTTTTCCCCTTTCTCTTCCTTTCCATTACTCCCCCGCTTTCTCAACACTTCCTCCCCCTCCTCTGTTTTTTGGTGCTGTCAGGTGCTTTGGTGGGCAGTGGTGATTAAGGTGACTGGATAAGTTGACCCCTGTTTGTTTAACTAAACACCACTGATATGAATATACAGTAGTTCATCCAACTCCCTTCTTCCCCCTCTAAGAGTTTTTCACTCCTAGATGGCAAGAATGCAACCATGCTTACCTTGGCTGGGCGTGTTTGCCGCAGTAAATGTTTGGTTTAGCCAGCCGTTCGGATCACTTGTTAAGCAGAAAGGGGCGAATTTCAACATGTCCTCAGAATAGGAATGCAGCTGCTCCTCTTACCTTTCCTGGGCCTTTGACAGCCTGTTTATGAGGAGGTGATGAGCATGGAGGGAGACAGGACGAGAGCATACATTGTTGCAGTTGGAGCAGGATATGAAGTCTGCTGTCATGGCTGAGTCAATGCTTTGTAACTCAAGTTTTGGTGATTTTTATGTATGAGTGGAAGAGACTGATGAAATCCTCTTAAATCTCCTCACATAAAGTGACAAACTTGAGGTCATCAATTTGAAAAACAGCCTTTTGTTGACATTTGGAGAGAGGTTTTTACCTGATAACTACGATATGAAGGACAGGCTTGTAATAATGTTTGGTCTAGCTGACATGCTATTGCATATTTGAAGAGCATAATCTTTAAGTCATTATTATAGCAAGAAGAGTTTAGTCTATGTCAGGGGTCCTTTTTAAAGTAATAGTTAATTTTGGGAAATACACTTAATATTTGCTTTCTTCCAGAGAGTCAGATGAGATACCACTTTCATGTCCGTACACTAGATAAAAAGCTATAGCCAATAGCACAAAGACTAGAAAAAGGAGGGAATAGCTTGATAAGGATAAGGTGCCAGTTTTGGTCAGGCCCAGTAGCTTCTTGTAATCACTGTGAGCTTTTCAGGCAACCAAAAGAGACAACATCTTGTACTAACACTCAGGGTTTTGTGCTGATTAAACAAGCAATATCTAACATATTAATTAGTGAGCTTTAGAGGTGATGGCAGGTGGATTTTTGTTACCTTTGAACAAACCCAAGCTACTGTTTCCCCCTAATCCCAGTCTTTATGCTAAGTTAAGATAACTGGCAGTTGACTGTAGCTTCATATTACTGTACAGACATGCAAATGGTAACAATCGTCAATCTCTTAGCAAGAAAGCGAATAAGTGCATTTCCCAAAATGTCAAATGATTTCTTTAATTAAAGTGTTCAACACCTGCTTTAATCTGGTTGAAAACACCACTGTCCAGTTTTAAAGTTGTGTCTTCACTGTATGTCAAATCTGATTGCATCAATCAGCAGTGTTGAATTTCCACAACAAACACAGGTGACCCACGTGGCTCTGATGAGACAGTGAGACGACAGTGAGTATGTTTATGAGGTCGGGTTGGACTAGGTCTTTTTTTCCAGTTTGCTGCAACAAGCACTCTGCTAGCCAAGGTTAGCCAAGCCCCCCTTAAGCATGTGTGATTAGCACTGGACTTTTTCTTCAGTGTGAGCAAAGTTCACACTTACTGGCCTCTAAGTGTTTTATAACAGTCTTGCTTATTCTCTGGAGTGGCCTCGTTCTGTCTTGCTAAATGCTTTGGGTATGTGGCTTGGTTTTCCCACAAGAAAGGCTAACCTTGTGTTTTGAGAAACTCTGTGCCGTTTACAGCTGAATCACATTTGGGTGTCCCTGACTTCTGATTTAATGGCTATGGAAGCAGAAAGGTGTGTCATGTATGCAGAAACATACATTGTCTGTAATGTGGAAGCACTAACACACATGCACTCAGACTGTAGATTACAGAATGAGCCTCCACACTCACAGTGGGACTCTCTGGCCCTGATTCTCCACATACCTGTCAGCCCCACTAACTACTACAAACCTCTGTGGTATCTCAAAAGCTGTCTACATTACTGAATGATTACTTGAACCAAGGCCTCTTCTTCCCAGTCCACTGGAAACTGCGGGCCCTCAGAGGCCATCTTGGCTTCCTGGTTGTCATCACTGTGGCAAGATAATTGATTCATTGCTGATAATGCATATATGGTAGCAGAAAGAAGGGATAATTGTACCTCTCTGTTTCAAATGATGCAGACATGGCTGGAGGACGTCTGTTTTTCATGCAACAGTGGAAAATATTCAGTGAAAAGCTTAAGGCTCATATATTGTGCTCTTCAAAAACAGAAGAGGCAATGTGGTCACTTTCATTTAGTTCTGGTGCTTTACACCGCGTTGTAAATAGATGAGGGTAAAATTTATATTAAAACTCCAATAATGTAATGGGGTAATTTGTTCTAAGTTTAACAGCGGAAACAAACTCACATGACTAGTTTCCGTGGGAAGACAAACTTTCTAGGTCTGTTCATGTTCAGGTGACACATCAAAGAGAAATTATTGTTGTCTGGGCTCTTGAGATGTTCTCATGATTAGATTGCAAGTACATATGGGGGCATTTTGTCTATGTAAGGGTGTGTATAAATACATAAAGCTGTGGTGGAGTGGTAGAGCCCAGTAAAAAGTTTCACTGTGTTTATTTAACATGAAAACCCACCGCATAACCTGTTAGTAATCTTCGAGCAGGCATCAAATGTTTACAAAATCTATGGAATATTTTTCCATGTTAATGCTTGGACATCAAGTCATTCTTCCATCATTTAGGAAAGAATCACGTTGGAAGAATGAACGGAACATGAGAGACTTTTGGATTTTCAGGCACAGTGACCTTATTGTAAAGGTTTCACACCCATTATCTGTATTTATTCTTACTTATCAGTGCGTGTGTGGGAAGTAGCTGCCCTTGCAGGTAATATGCCCACAAGCTTGACTCAGAGCTTGACTCACCATTTTCCACTTTCCACCATTCACCACCACCATCAGCATCTAACCAGCATCATTTTCAGAAAGTTTGAATGAAAAGAAGCTTAAATTCTGCACTTTGACTACACTACTATATTCTTTTGTTTCCCCCCATAGTATAGCCGGTCATGTGTCCCACACACTGTAAACAAGATTGTCGGCACCTTTTGCCTACAAAGTGGAGCTAATAAGTCTTGTGCTGACAGTAAATAGTGTGTCCCAGCACAGAGCCTTGTAGAGGGAGTAATCCCTCTACTTCAAAGTTCTGTGGCGTGTTAAAAGGTGCTGATGTAGGGAGTGTCCGGGTGAGTGGACAAAAAGATCAGATCCATCACCAAGAAGCTAGTTTGTGTGTCTTTTTGTGTGTGTGTGTGTGTGTGTGTGTGTGTGTGTGTGTGTGTGTGTGTGGTGCCCAGACTTGTCACGGGTCATGCTCTGACTGCTCCCCTCTTTAATTCACAGGTCACGTGAACTGACTTGCTCTTTGGTGTGTGTGTGTGTGTGTGTGTGTGTGTGTGTGTGTATGTATGTGTGTGTGTGTGTGTGTGTGTGTAGCCAAATACATACTCTATATCTATGTCTAAGGTGTCACCCTTAATACTTCATATGAGGGCAAAGTATTCCTTAGCTAAATGCTGGACGGAAGCAGGATGCTCACATTAAAATGTACTACAACTTAAACCTGTCTGTGTTTTGACTAGAAGGATTATCTGAAACCATCTAGCTTTTTTATGTTGCTGCTACTGTCTCTATGTTGTGTTGTCTAACCTCCATGAGGTTCTGATATAATCTGATAATCTTTATCTGTCTTTCTTTCTGTCTGTGTCCAGGCTTCTTGCAGGAGCACCCAAAGAGAAAGCCATATCTCTACCAAATGTGAATGAAACAGGTGCCGTCTACTCCTGTCCCATGACTACAGACACCTCTGACTGCTCCAGAATGGACCTGGTCAGCACAAGTAAGCAGAGCTCTGAGAAGTCATTGGTTGTTTTTGTATTTAACTCGAGGATGCAGAGTTGCAGTATAACATTGTTTCTGTGCAGGTCCAGTTAGTGAGGCACACAGGGAATGTAGTCGCCTGCAGTCTGCACCTGAGCAGACTCCCAGATGAGGGACAGAGGAATTAGTATTGATGTGAAAACAAGACTAAGAGTCTAAAGCCATGCAAGCTGCTCTGTGAGGTTGTATTTAGGCCCAGCAGCACCTAGAGTTAAATGCTAATATCACCATGCTAACAAGCTGACAATGACAATGTTAACATGCTAATGTTTAATAGATATAATGTTCACAATCTTAGTTTAACGTGTTAGCATGCATTTCCTAATTAGCTCTAAACAAAAAAGTACAGTTGAGGCTGATGGGTTTTGTAGGAATTTGTTATTATTACAATTTGTCCTGAAGGTGAGATGGGTACCAGATTTCATGGCAAAAAGTAATGATGACATCGCCAGGGGTTACTTTATCAGACTTTCCTTCACAGCCACTGAAGACATATAAGGGTTTTCACAGGCTGAGTTGTACTCCCTATAATAAGTGAACTGACCTTTATGTGTAAAATCAGTTCCCCTGATTGCTAAGTGAGAAACTGTAAATAATAACCTGTAAATGACAATCAGCTAGCTTCCTCTTTATTCTCCTTGGACAGAGCTACTGTATCAGACAATCTCAGAGTCTAATCGCCATCATGGTCTATCACATTCCTGATTAATTGCTGGATCTACATGATGAGCTCCAGGATATAAAACTCTGAAAGTGCATCCTTTCTTAATTGAAGGTTATTAACTTATAGACTTACTGTTCTTCTACCTGGAGGTGAATAGGCTCCCTGGCGGCTAAAAGTAAGAACCATAATGAAAGGACTCCTGATGTTGAGGTTGAAGTGATTGTTTCTTCATTTTTGTGGTTAATATTTGTCAGGGCATGATCCGGGCTGAATGAAGCTTTATTGTTTGGGTTGGTGTTCCTGTGACTAACATCACCATCATCATGTTGAATGTTTTTTTATATATATAATGGATTATTTGACATGGTGGACTATGCATACTGGTTTGTTTGGTTAAAATATGATACTGAATTTCAATGATCATGTAAACTGTAAATCTGACACAACCCATATGACCGATCCACAGAGAACCCATCTGAGATGGTGGAGGGCATGTGGCTGGGTGTGACAGTGGCCAGTCAGAGAAACCTTCCGGCAGGGCGTGTGCTGGTGAGATCACATCCCGCTTTCCTCAATTAGTCAGTGTCACAGGTGCCATATTATGTTTAAAGTAACATTTAATGTTTCACTGAAGGGAAGCAGGGTGAGATGAAACCCTTATTTCAATATTTAGTGTCACAGATGACTCATTGAACTTGTGCAATATTTAATGCAGCATACAGCAGCAAACGGATGTTACACTCAACATGCACACACCCAAGACAGAATGACACATGCAGGTAGGGAAATGACATGTAGAGTAATACTGAAACCATAAGTCAAAAGTCAGAAGTCAGAAGTAAGATTTAAAAAAAACAAAACAATATTGGCTCCACAAAAACGGAAATATTTGCTGTTTTATTTTAATTTCATGGGCATTTAAATAACTTATCCCCTCTTCATCATTGTTTATTTTTAATGTACAGATACAGATGAAAGCTAGCCATTCTTTTAAAATAATAATAGATTTAATCTCATCAAGGGAACATTATCAGAAGAGGTTCTCAGAAAAAATACACATTGTATATAAGAGCAATTATACAGGCCTTAACATCCTAGAATACTCACTCTCTTCTGGTGTCCAGGCATGCGGGCATCGCTATGTGAAGATCCTCAAAGGTGGCACGGAGGAGCAGTGGCATATGATAGGAAAGTGCTATGTCAGAGGTAACGACCTGACCTTTGACCCCAACGACGAATGGCAGACTTTCAGTTATGAGGTCTGCAACCCCAACTTCGGCATGGAGCTTGAGGGCATGTGCAACATGGGCATCTCAGGCGGTATGACAGACACAGACGTCTACATTGGCACTACAGGCAGCTACATGTGGAAAGGTAGGCACTGAGGAGTTAACGCCAAAAAGAGTTACTGAAAGAGAAATAATGGGCTGCTTTCACAGACAGGGATTAAACCCTGTGCAAGTCTGCTAAATTCTAGTGTTAGTCTAACACTGGAATTATTCTCTGTCTGGGAAAACTGTTCAGTGCATGAAGCAGACATAACATTGTTGTCTAATTCTTCTTTGTTACAAAGGGAACGTTCATGTAACATGGAGAAATCCAGATCCAGGGTATTCTTGGGACTCTGTAGACAAAGACTTTGGACAGCTGAATACACGATACAGTTATATGGGTAAATATACTGTATTTCTTTTGCATCATATGAATTGTAAAATCACTCTTAAACAAACGTTAACGCTTTTGAGGCCTTTCGTCCTTTTTTTAAAAGATGGTTTTCAATTCATAATAATGCTTTCTTTCACAGGTTATTCAGTTCTCGAAGAGAAAAAGCTGCTGAGCCACAACGTTTATACAGTGGTGGCAGGGTCTCCCAGGGACGAGTCCAAGGGCTCTGTGATGTTAGGGACAAAGACTGACAAAAACATCGTGCCAACGCTCATCATCCCTGGGGAACAAGTGGGCTCGTACTTTGGGAGCAGCCTGGCTGTCACTGACCTCAACAATGACAAGTGCGTCTCTGAACACCGCACTGAAAATTGATACTATCTTTAACCTTTTCCTTTTTGTGTAGTAGATTTTGAATATAGGGCCCTCCGCAATGCACTTGATTAGACTCCTGCTGGGTATCACAAGGATGAGTATTGAGTTCAAAAGCATAATGTGCATTTTTCTAGAATGTGAATCAATGATTATTATCCATTATGTCCTTGGTTTGAGAACAACCCCAAAATGGAAGTCATTTTTAATTAAAATATAAACAGTGTCCTCCAAATCAAAAAAACATTTTCATTACAGTGGACCATAAGAAATAATGGGCTATCCATCCATTTAGAAATTATTTTCCATCTAATGCCATATTTCAAGTACATGCTGCTTATAATTCTAAATCCCCTGATGGAAAAGAAGAGTGTTATGTTTGCATGTGTCAAAGGATTGTCTGTAACTGTATCTTGGGCTTTTGAGCCGCCTCACGCTCGAATGCTCTGTAGCTATGATCTGCCCTGTTATGCAGAGAATGCATGACACTGATGTATGTATGAGCTGAGCTGAGATGAGAGAAGAAAACCTGTCCTTTCAGCAGCTGAGATAAAGTGTTCGTCATGACATCATGGTGAAATAATGTGCCTCCCTTAATGCATAAGTGAAACTTTGTTTGTGGGGATTTTAAAGGAAACATACATTTAAGATGCACCAATATAATAGTGAATAATGTTTTGTCATATTTTTGGTGTGTGTCTTCGTAAGTATTTGCATATTTGAGTTTATTTTTAATATTTCTTTTGCCTATTACAGCTGGAATGACCTGATCGTGGGCGCCCCATTTTACTTTGACCGCATGAATGATAAGGGAGGAGCAGTGTATATCTTCATGAATGAGAATGGATCTTTCCAAAAGACAGCCAGCGTGGTGCTGAAGGGTAAAACAGACTCTGCATTTGGCTTTGCAGTGGCTGCCATTGGGGATATCAATCAAGACGGATTCCAAGGTATGACTCTGAACGCTACATTTGTTTTTCACTGGCGGGGATGTACAAAATGAAGTCAAAATCTCATGGAAAAGCAGCTGAGGTTCATTGTTAAAAACAGCTACAAATAAACCACATGCTTTGTAAAGTGGTGATGCAGGTATTATTCAAAGCCCTTTTTTATGAAGTGTTTATTTATTTTATTATTTTGTCTACCTCTGTGTTTTCTACTATATATTAAGAGTTGGTCGACTAACTGTTCTGCTGTCAAAAGGTACCAAGTTGTGGTAGAGACGAAGCATTGGGTTCCCCATTAAGACTTTGTATGGTCGTTGCCAGTTGCTAGCAAGTATCCCAGCAGGTTAACATGGTGTATTGAGTTGTATGTATTTCAGGCAGCTTAAAAGCTATATAAAAATGCTACCACTGGTCATTTTCTCATCATTAGGTAGTGCTATGCTGCCCCCTTGAGGGCTAATATATTCTATGCAGCGTGCCTTGGCACATTTGCTTTGATATTTTCCTCCATTGTTAATGTCTGCAGACTTTGCCGTGGGAGCTCCATTCCATGAAACAGGAGAGGTCTACATATGGATGGGACATAAAGATAAAATCTCACAGGACCCCAGTCAGGTAACATCTTTGAATTTAAGCCACAGTTGTACTTAAGAGAAAAAGGGCCCATATTCATTGAGTTGATCTGCCATGTGTCATTGATGCCCTCTATAGGTGATTAAGGGTGAGTCAGTGGGAAATGGAGGATTCAAGACCTTTGGCTACTCCATCAATGGAGGGATGGACATGGATGACAACAATTACCCTGACATCTTAGTCGGCTCTCTGGACGACCGCATAGCCCTGCTCAGGTAGAAATATGAGGGAGGCTAAACAGAAACATGCAATTGTTGGGTGAAAACTTATCTTCTTTGTCTTCACGATTTAACTTAAGATAAAATATTATAATGGGTCCGATGTCTTGAGAAAGTCCTTCAGTTGAATTCCTCTGTTAATTATGTTTTCAGGGCTCGACCAGTCGTCCACTTAAGTGCAAACTTCACTGTCAAGCCAGACATTGTGGACACTAATCAGTGCGGAAATACACCATGGTGAGATGTTTCTGCAGAATACTTAATTTTGACAAAAACTGGCTTATTCAATTGAGTTTTAAAATAGATTTCTTTTTCTTTGTGTTTTACAGCATTACAGCAACTGTGTGTATGTCTTTCATACTAAGCAATGGAAACAAAGACTTCAAGAAAAATATCAGTAAGCTGTCTTCCCTTACTTAAATTATCCAATGAAAAAACATGTAATGTGTAAATGATAAAAAAAAAATTCAACTGTATAAAGAAGCCTGCGATTTTGAATCTGCTGTATATCTATAGTTACAAACTTTGGAGATCCTTATGTAAATCATTTATATTGTCTATTACTAAACATATGAACTTGCCGCAGTGCTCTATAATGTACTGTATGTATTTCTACTTTGTGAAGCGGTGAAGTACACAGTGGAGGCTGACGTGGAGAGGAGAAGCCCTCGTGTTCGTTTTCAGGACAATAATGACGATAAATATACCAGTTTACTGAACCTGCCATCTTCCAAATCCCAGTGTCATACTCTGAAACTGACTGCAGTGGTAAGGTCTCAATATAAATACTGTGTATCTCAATACACATACCATATTCTGTGTGTATTTATGCATTAGTCTTTTATCTACTGCTATAGACATTAAAATAAGGCGCTGTTGCCCAATAACCATGTGCTTATTACGACCAGTATAAGATTCTTGGATGATTCTACAGGAGCCTGTGAGAGACAAACTGGAGCCAGTTGTCTTTTTCCTCAACATGTCCTTACATGAACAAAAACCTAAATCCAGACGTTCCCTGCAAAACCTGGACTCCTTCCCAATTCTCAGCCAGAAGCAGGAACTCTCTCGAGAAGCTGAGGTGTGGAGTGGTGCATACATTACATTCATATGCCATATTTTAAGTAACTATACATAGTGAAGCCCCTGTATTTGTGATAGTCTCCCTGTAACGTATGATTATTTGTTCCCTTTCCTGCAGATTCAATTTCAGAAGGCGTGTGGCTCAGACAACAAATGTAGCAGTAATCTGCAGGTGACAGCGCAGTTTGCTGACGAAGAGGAGAAGCCTTACCCTAGGTGAAATGAAATTCTGAATAATGAAAGCCTTTGACTGATGAAGGTTTTTAAAACTGCTACAGAAACCATATTTTTAGATAAATGTCACAAAGAGCATCTGACATTTGGAGAAATACACTTATTTTGCTTTCTTGCCAAGAGTCGGCAACAGCTGGTTAGCGTAGCTTAGCACAAAGACTTGAAACATGTAGAAACAACTAGCTGGTCCAGAACCATTAACATGTCTAAATTCAATTCATTAAAGTACATCATAACTTTGGACAGAGCTGTTTTCTCTTTTCCAGTTCTATGCTAAGCTTGCCTAAAGACATAATGAGAGTGCTATCAGTCTTGTCATCTAACTTCTAGACAGAAAGCAAACAAGTTATTTCCCCCCAAATGTCCGTTAAATCGGAGGAAAGACCATACTACAGTTTTGTTTATTTGGCTTTCTTTCCAGTGTTTTTTCAGCATTTGTCCTACCTGTTAGCTTGACATCAGCCAAGCAGCAGCAAACAATGATGCCTGTGATGATAGAAATGAAGCATTATAGGATGAAAACTGGAAAGAGGGATATAACATAAGTTATGTTGTTTTTTTTATCCATATTATTACTTTTGGACAGAGCCAGGCTAACTGTTTGCCCCTGTCTCCAGTCTTTATGCTAAGCTAAGTGAACATCTCCTGGCTGTAAGCATACAGACATGAGAGTGGTATTGAGTTTCTCATCTAACAGTGAAAAAGTGTACATCCCAATATATCTAAACTACTCCTTTAATGTCAATACACCCATATTGGGACTTTATTTAAAATGTGTAACAGTCACAAGTATTTCTCTCAGTTTTAGCACTAGCATTGTGTAAAAGCAATACCTATAAATAAGACCATAAATGTACAGCCAAAAATAATAATTGAAATAATAATAAGTGAATAAATAATATATATGTTGTCCATGTATCCCTGTGTACAGGCAGGGCAAATTCCAGGTACTTCAGTTCAACAGCAATATGAAGAAAATAAATCTGATGGTGGAGGTCACCAACTTTCCTGGTCAGGGGAAGCTGGCTGAAGACGCCCACCAGGCCATGCTCAACATCACCATCCCTGACGCACTGAGCTACTCCAGCGTCAGGTCGGAGGTACGTCCACTGGAGGGCAGCAGATGACTGAGAAATTTCCATTATATTATTTCCTTATGTCATGTGTTAAATTACAGTTAATTTGGAGTTTATCAATATGTAAAAGTATTTTCACTGCAATTTTGTTTCTTGCATCTCCAGTCACTTGAATTTCTAAATTGAGTAATTGTGTTTCTTTCTTGATATGCTGACTGTGTGTTCAGGACCACGATGTACAATGCACTTTTGACGACGCAGTGATTTGTGAGCTGGGGAATCCACTTAAAGGCAACACAAAGGTAAGTTTGAATAGTCGGTGTGGATTTTTTCTCATAGATTTGGACTTGTTTCGTCTTCTGAGATGGGTTTGACACTTCTCTTGCTTTCATTATCAGGTGTCACTCGTCCTCAAGTTTGAGACATCAGGAATCAATTTGCAGACACAAGAGATTGAGTCCCAGCTGCTTCTGTCCACGTAAGTGCTTAACTGTGATGCACCGTGGTATTTCTGTCTAAGACTTGGGCTTAATTTTGATTACACAGTATAGCAATTTGTAGCTGTTCCTAATAGTATTATTTGAATGTAGTGCAAAATCTAAAGCTGCATTGTAATTGTCAGGGATTATCGAGGCTCTAACATGATCAGTCAATAACTACTGGCACACGGTTTTGTAATAATGTTTGTTTCTTCAGTCTTAGTGAGCAGAGTGACCTGATGCCTGTGCCTGTGGCCCTGCTGATTGAAAACACCATCCTCCCTTCCTTCTCCATGTGAGTCCCAGTACCTACCAACTCATGACGCACTGTATATACAGTAAAGAGCACCGAAATGCCATGGATACTGAAGTACATAATGCCACCTCATATTATCTACCTCATTTTACGTGCACAGTATACAATCATTTTCAAACTCTCACCCTATCCAGAGCGAATGCGGTGGTGCAAACAAAATTCGGTGGGACAGTGATGGGCGAGTCAGCCATGGTCAACACCAGTGACGTGGGCAGTCTGGTGGAGTTCACCTTCAATGTGAGTCACCGCCACCACTCAGACTATATTAGACCTCCAGGATTGTATATTGCATCTACAATATGTGTGCTACTCACCCACATTTCCCTCATCCCCACCCTGTCTTTGAAGCCAAGACTTTTATTCCTCAGAAGTTTAATATTGCGTGGGGAAGGGATTGTTATGTGAGCTATGGTTTGTGGTGTAAGCATGACCAGGGGTGGATACTATTTAGGAGTTACGAAGTCACAGTCAGGCCCTGACTATTATTTCATACTGTCTGTTTGATTTCTACTGAAGTTTCCCTTTTTTTGTGCTGCTGACTTTTTTCACCACTAGGTAAACATGAGGGGGCAGCCCCTGGGAAACCTGGGGACACTGGCTGTGGAGTTCGAGTGGCCCTTTGAGGTAGCCAACGGCAAGTGGCTGCTGTACCTGACGAAGATTGTTGTTATAGGGGAATCGGAGATGGAATGTAAACCTCCTGGAGAAGTTGTCAACTTGCTTCGCCTAATTGTAAGGCTCTTTTTTTAGGCTTTGCTTTAGAGCCACAATATGCTTTTCCTCAAGAGCCAGTGTGTTGTATTCCTTTCATTCTCTCATATCTTGAAGTTTATGCTTAAATATCTTGGACACCTTGAAACAGGGTCCAGGCTGAGACTGAGGTAAACTGTAAACCTGAAACAAACACTGAAGGTGCAGATTGTGAACACAGTTATTTGCAGCAAAAAAAAAAAAACCAAAATAAAACAATGCCAGTGAGTCGGCTTCCTATGAACCTCATGAAAACATCCTGGTTTCATATTAAGCCTCGGACCTTTGATGTATGTCATGAATCTAATCTGTCCAATCTCTGTCTACTGTCAACGATGCAAAAGCTTGTCTGCATTTTTATACTGCTTACTCCTGCCCACACCCATGACATACCCAAAATGTCCCATTACTGAAGAGCCACAAACACAGTTACATATAAAGAGAGAGGGATTGGATTTAATGAGAGGCCTAGAATAACAAAAAAGACTATAAGTCTACAGCCATGCTAGCAACTACAGAAGCACAGCAGCGCATTGAGCTATACACTAATGCCAGCTTGCTACCATGCTCATACTCATGCTAACAGACTAATATTTAGCAGGTATACTGTTTACTATGTTCACCATGTTAGTTTATCATGATAGCATGCTAACCTTTGCTAATTAGCACTAAACACAAACTTGCCATCCCTAGAGCATGCTGCCAGCACTGTGACACTTTCATTTTGTTGACTTTACGGCTCAGATACCGTTGGGTAATATACGTTAACAGTGCACTTGATACATTTCAGTTAACTAGGCTGATATTAAGAAGGACTAAGTTCAACTGCTGCCGGTGAGTGTACTGTGCTGTCCACAGGCTGGTTACATGTGCTGTAATTCATCCTGACATGAGTGTGAACTGAAACAGCCAGAGCAGCATGAGTAAATGCGAGCGGCAGAAAAGTGGTGTGAAAATGGTCTCAAAGCCAAACCACAGCCGTTCAGAAATACATTTTGGAAAAAACATCTGTGTCGCCACATACAAACCTCACAGAACCCCAAATAGAAAGTCATAATGGGTGCAGCCTAGATATAGACAGTGGAAATGACAATGCTATTCTGAGAAGAATTTAGTAATGTCTTTATCAAAACCAGTAATTACCACGAGCCCTCTGATGTCATGTCTCTGTCTCCTCTGCTTCCTCCTGTCATTTTTCATTCTCCCTCTCTTGTCTTCCAGTTGTCAGAGAACGAACGAAAGCGAACAAAACGGCAGATTGTGGTGGATGATGTTGATGATGCGACTCAGCCACATATTATTGAGCCACAGGCAGCCATCACACTGCTCACTCCTCGCAAAGAGACGTACCTGCTGGTAAGAAGTAGATCCGCCTTATCAACGTTCTCATGAACATATACATTTTTTGAGAGTAGAATTCATAAGTAAGATATTGTTTTTTTCAAAAGGGTCACCTATGTTCACAAAGGCCGTGAATGTCTGCACCATATTGCATCCGGCAGTTGTAGAGAGTTTTCATGCTATATCACAAATGTCAACCGGCTGGTGTGGCCAGAAGACAAGTCAGGGGATCACTAAAGTCAACAAGAGTCATCCTTCCGGGATGATGTATATATGTACCAAATGTCATAGCAATCTTTTTAATAGCTGCTGAGATATTTCAGTCTGGTAGACCAACCAACAGACCGACAGACCAACAGTGCCATGCCGCTAGTGTAGCAACGACCTACTTTCACTCAACATATATTGTAGTATAGAACCTCTGTCTCTGACAACCTTCAGCTCCTATATAAATTACTTTAACCATTAGGGCTCCTAGAATTTACAGAATACAGACGTTAACGGACATTTACCAAACTGGCAAATGATTAATGAGATTGTGTACATCCAGGAAATAAAATCAAAGCAAAATGGTGTAATGTTCATGTTTTTTCCCTTGTGTAATCCTTATTCTTTCTTTCTCATGGTGTTTTGAAGGAATGCTCCAAGGGGACAGCGAGGTGCGTGACATTTACCTGTCCACTGCTCAACATGACGGATTCAGCCGAGATTTATGTGCGGTCCCGTTTGTGGAACAGCACAATGCTAGAGGTCAGCTCACCAGCTACAACCACACACATGACACAGTAATAATTTCATAAAATTGTCCAATGGCTTCTTCTTCAGGAACAACAATAATGAGTATAAGCGTATTTATTACCATTAATGTGTAACAGTGGTATGTCTTCATAGGGTGAGAGGCCTACAGGGATAAATCTCCTATTGGCCAACTATTCCTTTCCAAGCATTATTGCCATTTTCAAATTCCTAAAGTAAAAACATGCCATCTATATATTATATTTATGCATGTTTATTGCTCAGATTTTGGCACAATTTAAGACATGTATAAAATGTTCCTAAATAATCTCATACTGCTATAGTGTCAGTGAGTTTTGTGCAGTATATCTGGGTTCTGTTTGAAAATGTTTGGATGCTGTGTCTGTGTCCCTGCAGGACTATGCCAATGCTCTGAGAATCACAGTCAGAGGTCAAGCCACACTGAAGCTCATTGCAGATAAACCAAGCATCAGGATGGACAGTCAGACCAATATGGTGCGTGATGATAATGATGATAATGATGATGACAAAAACGGTTATGATGATAATTTTACTTGACTCTGTCCACCTTTCTTGTAGTTCACAGTAGAAATAGAGCCAGTGGAGGGTGTGGAGGTGCCCTATGAGCTGCCGTTGTGGATCATCATCTCTGCAGCTGTAGCAGGAATTCTACTACTGGGAATAATCATTATTATACTATGGAAGGTGAGACTACCAATCATCACTGCACTGATTACACTCTGCTGTATTTCCGCAGAGAGACTTTGAAAAGCTCTGAATCACCCCACATGTACTGTTATTTTTATTCACACCAGCAATCCTCTCTGGATTATATGATAGATGTTGAATTATCTGACTGATCTATAACCTCCATATCGAGCCATTAGTCTAACCTTTGATTTACCCCTACCCCCTCCATGCACCATCCACCTCCTCTTCCTCCTCCTCCTCCACCCCCAGTGTGGCTTCTTCCAGAGGGCCAGCAGGAGGGAGATGTATGAGGCCAAAGCCCAGAAGGCTGAGATGAAGATCCAGCCCTCTGAGACAGAGAGGCTGACTGAGGACTACTGAGGGCCCTCATGGGTCCCCCAACAGCACACACCAGTGGGGCTTTTGGGTAACAAAACCCCTACAAATGGATTTTCTTTGGATACTTTTAAGTAAAGCATTAAGCTTGGGGTGTGATTGAGCTTGCTTACCACTTAACTTTCTCTTTTATGTCCACTATTTGCTACCTAACACTGCTTCTACTTCCCTTTCAGGCTAATACTCTGCATTGTGCCGCTGATATTCATATCATGTTTGTCTTCACTACTTTGTCTTTCTTCTCCTTCTTACTCAATGTGGGCTTATCGTTTACCTAACTTGATTTTCCTCAGCCTGTGACTCCTAAACCTCCTTTTCAACCCGCTGTTAATCCCAGCTCTCCTGCTGTGTAAGTGTATCCTCTTTAATGTCACCTCCCTCTCTCTCTCTCTCTCTCTCTCTCTCTCTCTCTCTCTCTCTCTCTCTCTCTCTCCCCACTAGCTTGGATTCTTCAAGCGAGCCATCTACTACCGGATAATGCCAAAGCACCAGGGGGTAAAAATTCGCAAGGCTGAGCGCTATCAGTTCAATCTGGGATTTCAGCCTGAGGAGCCACAGAAAAAGTACTGGATAACCAGCTGGACAGAGATGCAGCATTACTACTACTGAGGCTTTTACATTGGACCCTGAACCACTCACCGTCACACTGGTTTTACACAGGCCAAATAAAGAACGGTGGCTGCGTCAGGCCACATGGACTTCTGCAGTGCATGGACCAATTGCAGATTGCGCATTATATTTTTTATCTTATTTTATTTTTTACTTCAGTAGATTTTTTTCAGTGCAATATACTGAACATTTTGTTTCAGAGATTGTAATTTTGTTAAGTATTTTTGATGACTGCAGAGTTGTACATTGGAATCGGGGTTGCATTCATGAGTAAATTGTTAATTGTTTTAATTATGCAGGTTTATATGTACTGAACTTGGTGTTTGTATGTATGTTTCCAGTTCTTTTTTTACTTTTTAAATCCTTTGAGCAAAGTTGCTGCTCATTCATTGTGTTATTTTCCGCCATGTCTGTTTTCCTCTCTAATCAGAGGAACGAGTCCATTGATTTTCTCTGTGATTGTGTATGTCTGTCCCCAGGCATCACTTTGTGGTCAGTGGTTGTAGTCTGTGTAAGGGTTTCAAACCTACAACAGTCATTTTGGAGATCATTTTCAAACTGCACTTAGGATAAGATGACCAGCGTCCACTCTGTTATGGGTGAGCAAGCGTCTTTATGTGAATGTCCATGTCGGTGTTTGGCAAGCATTACGTAGCCTAGCATCTCAAATGCAGTCATGGTTGTGGCACTGGTGTCATATGTAAAAAGTGACTTTGTATTTTTCAGGCTATGTAGAAAAATTATATAGAGGGAATAAATACAAACGCAGAAAAATTGCCACTCATTGGTGAATAATACATTTTATAGGCCAGTTGGAGATGTTTTTAATCACCTGCATTAAATTCCACGGGAAGAATTGTCTAATCAGCCCTGCAACACAATGAAAAGCAATAGCTTCTTGTCTGTATGTAGAATTAGCCAATATGTGTTGATGAGATGATGGGAGCACACTTGATTATTATTTATTACACTGTCTTGTGTTATTACAGTAAAGAACCTATCTGGGTATGTTTAAAAAATATCACATACAGGGAGTCATGACACTGGTTATAATAATAAATGATGTTATATTTATGTCTGGAGACTGTAAGCTCTAGCATAGATAGTCGTATATTGTATAAAGAGTTAGGTTGGATCGACTATTTGAATGAATGTGTTCATCATTGGCCTTTGTTGTTTACTGTCCCTGAGCTTTGTATTTTTGTAAAAGACAGTAAGCACACACTTGGATTGTTTCCAAGCCATTGTGGCCCCCATTGAGGTCAAACTGCAGCACTGAACATAGACTGGACCTAGAGAAAACACTTATTGAGCGGTCTCTTATGGGATCTTAAGTGTTGCGTTACCGATCTAGTCCATGTTACCTGAGAGCCCCTCTGTAGCAGCCACAGCCAGAGTCACAGGCTGTGACTGTGGCTACTACAGAGGCTCCATTGACTTAGTGGGTAAAGAGGGAAGGGCTGAAACCAATGCACAAACTCTGTTCTTTGTGGTGGTGTTGTTCTTAACTGTGCAGTTTGATTGTGATGTGATTAAATTGTTTTTAACAATCTTTGCAGTTTAATTGCTACCATTATTGTGTGTGTTATAAGTGTCCCATATTATTTTGGGAGCACATTGGAATATGGATGATACCTGAAAGGTTTTTCCTGAGGAGGTTGTGTATTATTCACAAGTGCGTTATGGGTGGGGTGTAGGTGTGTGTACTACCCAAAGCAGCTGCCCAGCTTCTTATTTGTAGCTATCTCATGAAGCTAACAAAGTACCTGATTGAAGATCATTAAACATGTAGAGTCATGACTGTGCTGACAGGAATCAGAAAAACACAAAACAAATAGGCACTGTCACACCAATTGCACGTAATGGTGACTTATTGAGCCATGTGAGTAAAAGAACACACCTTCTGCAGCTACCTTGTGTATTCATAGTTCACTAGAGTGTCTTGAAGCTGTTATCAATCTGTCTGGGCTAAATTATCAGGTGCCCTGCTAAAAATATACCTCCTGTGTGCTGTCTTGTTTGAACACATAGGCAGAATACATATTTAATGTATTTATTGTAGAAATGCAGAGGATCCAACAAAAAAGAAATCAAATATTTAAAAAATGCTTACACAATTAATCACTTTACAAACATTCATTTAAAACATTCCCCCCCAAACCATCAAATATTGCAAATAAATTACAAAATTGTAATATTCTTTTGCATAGGCAAAAAATAATTGAACTCAAAGTGTATACAATAAATTTACAAGGCTTGGTAAGGACCAAAAAGGAAAGCAGAATTGAACAGATGCACTTTACAGTACACAAAAACACTGATGTTCACATTGAGGTTGGCACTGTGCTAGCTACAGTAAGTCAGGCCTTACTTTAGCCATCACCAATGTCTAGGTGTCTCTGATCTCCTTTTGCTTGAGCTCCAGCAAGGACAAGGACTTTTCATGCTTGTTTGACTTCCTGTACCTGTAGGCCAACAGGATGGTGGCCACCAAGAGGACCACTCCAAGGACTAACAGGATCCACTGGCCAGCCATGGCAGCTGAGCCATCCACACTCATACCCAGGAAGTCCACTTTACTAGATTTAATTTCACCTGCTGGACACACACGTAAAATACCAAATAAGTTCAATGCTGGACTGATTGTTTTTCTCATAAACGCACTTATTCATATTTATCATATTTAACAAGGCATCTTTAAAATGTAAAACAATTCAAGAGCAGCTAAAAAAAGGAAAGGAAATAGTAGAATTTTTTTTCTAAAAAAAGTAGAAAAAACACACAAGATATTTTTCCCACCAACAGATGGTGCATACCAACATGCTTGAATCTCTAAACTGCTGTGATCGGTTGCGCAAGCTGGAATGGACAGGTCTGAAAATGCAGCTCTGTAACTGGATGATATTCAGCATATGTGGCTGCTTTGTATCAATTACACTGTTGTTGCTGACGCTCAACAAAGTCAGGGTAACTTACCCCCTTCTGACACAGTGTAGTCTGAAGGAAAAAAAGTCCCTTTCTTCCACCTCCCTTATTTTCTTTTCACACTCAATTGTTTCTTTGCATCTGAATTCTGTATTTCTCTGTTGATCTGTGCGACAACAGCTGTGTTCTCTTTTCCACCACTATCTCTTCCGAACTCTCTCTTTCACTCTGTTGCTAAGAATCTCATCAATCTAATCTGTACACATCCTTTCAGCAGGATCTCATCAGTAAAACAAGAGAAGCAGGAGATTGATTTCACTGTAAGCCACAGCAGGAACCAAACTAAATTAATGCCTCTGTGTGAAGACATTGCGCCTTTTTTTCTGGGAAGGAGTTCAAAAAACATTTGGCATGGAGACTGGAAAACTTATTTAACACAAATTTCCAGCAATAAGGCTTGCCTACTTGCACATGCCTTATTTGTGTTTCTGTGAAAGTATCGAAGTATGTGGATGCATGAAAGTGTTAGACATACTAGAGGTTGAAGGTTTCCAGTCGTAGTCAGGCCACCCGCGAATATCCTTGTTCTTGTTGTTCTCTGCCTCTAGCCATTGAATGAGAGGTTGGAAATACTGCATGAGCGGCTGGGCACTCATTTTGGGCTGGCCGGTGATCATGGTCATAGCCTCGGGCCAAGGCTTACTGAAGCCCAGCTTCATCACATCACTGCAAACATTAACACAGGTCAGAGAGGAGGGTCAGAGGAGATGAGGATCAGTAGCAAGTGTGTGTGGTAGAGATGATTACACACATGGTGCAAAGTGTGTCTTCACCAGCTGCCTGCACTGACAAATACTAAAATCTTCTGTCATCACCTGTATAACGTTATTTCCACAATCATGTCTGAGCAAAATAAATACAATATAATATGATACATCGTTTTAGTTATTTCTAGTATGCACAAACATATATGAAATCCATTTTGTAATGGTGAAGAGGGCTGAGATTTTACTTAACTTCTAATTACATTGGATATCATTCTTTTCCAGAAGTTCATTATGGGTGGGTACACCTGTATGTGTGTGTACTGTAGGTGTGTGTACCAACCCCATCAGCTTCCCAGCTTCCTTAGATTTGTAGATGTCGCAGGTATGTAGAGGCCCAACATGCTTGGCAGCATCACACAGAGCCTTGTGGAACTGAAACTGGATGATGAAGCTAACGAAGTACCTGATTGAAGATCATTAAACATGTACTGTCACAGCTGCCAGAAAAACACAGCAAAACACAAACTAACTGACACCGGCACATAATTATCTATTAATTGGAGTGTGATGAAATAGTTATCAATCTATCTGTGCTCAATTATCTGGTGCCCTGCTTGTTCTGCAGAATCATGAATATTTACCTCACATAGGGCACGTTGGCAGGGATGTGGAACTTTGCACCTGGGTCGAAGTCATCCTCAGTACGGGTTACAGGTGGACACAGTCCCTGGTACTTCATTCTGCAATGCAATAAAGTATAATCTAGTTTTCATTTAAGCACATCATCATTTATTACACAATCAATCTTGTAAGTACTGATTAACCTACCTTTATTTAATAATTAATTTGAACTTTTCTAGATGATAAACACTGTACTTGTTGTACTTGTTACTGGAGAACTTTACCTGAGGTTCCACCATTCTTTATTGTACTCAGTCGATGGGATCCGTCCGTCAAATACCTTCCACCTCCACTGATCCATCAGGTAGCCAAAAGGTAGGAAGGCAATCTTGTCAAGTGCCATGCTCATCAGGAAGTTGATATCACTCTCTAGAGATAGGGACCGAAACAGCACTAATGAGCTGATTGCTGTGCTATAACATTACATGTTTTTACAGAACTGTGTAACACTTGTGGTCATGGTCCCTCACCGTGGTTGGTTTCAACTTTGTCCAGCAGGCCGATGCTCTGCAGATGTTTGGGCGTGGACACAGACAGGGCCAGCACATCACCGATGGCCTCGTGGAAGCCTGGGTTGGCTCCATCACGGAAAGACACAGGTTGGTCTTTGTACTGCAGGAAGTACTGGACATGGCCCATCTCATGGTGCACCGTGATCAGGTCATCCATAGTCACGACAGTGCACTGTTTGATCCTGGAGACACAAACAAGGCTATAATTACAGCAAAGAACCCATAAATATTACATCCTCCTGGCCTCTAGGCAATTGTTTGTTATATTTTATATACACACAGTATATATAGCCTACTGTGTATGGGAATTTGGTTAGACAGCAGTCTTACACCTTTTTAACCTTATGAACTACTGGCACAGAAGCTCAATATTTAATTAGGTTTCTTACACCAAAATAAAGCACAGAAAAAAACAGCTGCTGTATTCAGGTCTAAAGGTTGCACGTTCTAATGTTTCTGTATCAAATGTAGAAGAAACCGCCTTCCTGTCAAAGCACTGATGACAGCCTACCAATGAAATAGTTCCTGAAAAATGTATTTTACCTGAAGTCTTTTCGGTTGTAGAAATCCCATGCGGAGGCATGGCACACCACCTGCCGCCCGTCAGACGGCTTCTCCAGCATTGACTTCTCCCAGAACTCTTTTGGCATTGGCAGCAGTCCCAATGAGGTGAAAAACCTGTCTGATTCCTGGAACATTCTGGTGGCATTCCAGCCCTGAAGGGGAAAAGAAGCATATCAGAGAAGATGTGGATGTATGTGCGTGTGTATATGTGTGTGTTTGTGTATATAAATATAAACAGTTTTGCAGAGCTGAGATATTTAACATTTGGAAAAAAGCAACAGCTACATTTAGAAAATAGATGACTGCACAAAGTGTAAACAAATTGTGGTTCTAAAAAGATAGGAGGTAACATCTTGTTCCCCTCGAAAATATGTATACAGCATATTTATGTACGCTTCATGTCAGTAATGGATGTGTGTTGTATTTTGCTGCTTTTTTGCAATTAAAATCCTCTGTATTTATCCTCATTCTGCTTGATCCTCCACTTTGGACCGCATCTGTGTCTTTTCAGCGAAGCAAACTGATCCTTGACCTCTAAAGCTGCACAGCGATGGCTGGAAGAGTGCATGATTGTGTTCTTTGTGTGTGTCCTTGTGTATTCATGTGTGCAGCTGTGATTATTATGCAACAGCTGGTTGATGTGTTCATTTACCTGTGCCACCATAGCTGGAGTGGCGTCAACTTGCGTGGCATGTGGGTAGGGCATGGCCAAATCCATTATGCCAGACCACGTCTGTGCCCACATGTTGCCTGAAAGGACAGTAAACACCATTCATTTATCGTATTTCCATAAAGTTATGGGGCAAGTTGTCCTCTGCTCTGCCAGTGTTAAACCAAGTGGGATTTGTGACTGAGTCAGCTCAATCCCTAACCGTGTGGAACTGTCACACACAATCTCACGCTTGACACCTCTGAAAGGAAATTAAATCCTACCGAAATCCAAAAGCATCTACAGCCAACGACAGAATATCAATGTGGTATGCTTCCACATAAAAGAAGAGTTTAGGCTAGAGTGTTCAAATCCTTTAAATTCCATAGTGAAATACTGACTGAAGTGTGCGTTTGGCCTGTGACCTTAGCCTCAACTCCTGAAAGCCCTGAAA